ATAATGTTCCCTGTACTCTGAACCTATTATAATTTCCTTTGAAGATATTTACTGTGGTTACTGTGGAATATAAAATTAAATATTTTGGGGCTAATACAAATTTTTTTAATAATATAAAAAAAGGCAAGAGTTAAAAGATTTATAAATAAAAAAATCAAACTTAGTCTTATCTATAGAGTTTTTAAAGTATAATATATACAATAACTATATAAAAAGAAAATAAAATACGATCCAAGTTTTCAAGCTTCGAACATCTCAAAAGAAATACCCGACAAAAGGTAAAAGAGCAAGAGGCTAGTAAATGGAAAAAAAACTACATCATGTTTTTTTGCGAAAAATGACTAAAATCAAACATTTCCAGGTTTGAATGCCAATAGGTTGGAAATTAAACTACGAGTCCAACGAGATATGACATTCCTCATTTGAACCTTTATTTTTGTCATGGCATCCAAAACACTGATTTTTTATGCCGAAAAATTGGGATTGAAATTTTAGTCAAAAATACACATTTTATCTGCGGTTTTTCAATCGTAGGTTATCCAAATCAAGGCGTACAGCAAAAAGAGCGACTGTTTTGAGCAGCTTGCTTAATATGCTAACGATCCTCATAACTTTTATGAAAATTTATTTTTTGGCCAATTTTCGCATTTTTTGTAAGGGGTTACGTCATGTTTTTTTGCAAAAAATGGCTAAAATCAAACATTTCCAGGCTTGAATGCCAATGGATAGGAAATTTAGCTACGAGTCCAACGAGGTATGACATTCCTTATTTGGACCTTTATTTTTGATATGACATCCAAAACACTGATTTTTTATGCCGGAAAAGTGGGATTGAAATTTTAGTCAAAAATACTTATTTTATCTGCGGTTTTTCAATCGCAGTTTGGCCAAATCAAGGCGTACAGCTAAAAGACCGACTGCTTTGAGCAGCTTGCTAGCAGTGCTAACTATCCCTATCACTTTAAGGAACATTTATTTTTGACCAATTTTCGCATTTTTTGTAAGGGGTCATCATGTTTTTTGCGAAAAATGGCTAAAATCGAAAATTTCCAGGTTTGAATGCCAATGGATTGGAAATTAAACTACTATTCATATCTTAAAAGTTACGTAAACATACATTTATATATATGTATATTTATTTATATTAGTTTTTAAATGAAATAATATATTACAACTCTACAAATGCCTTTTATATTTTTTTCTAAGTATTAAAGACTTATTTTTAATAAACACATATATATATTTGCATATATTTAACCATTAGGGTATGTCCAGAAGATCTGAATCTTTTTATATTAATTATTAAACTATATTTGCCTGAACCACATAATTCTGGAAACCAAAAAAAATTTGATAATAGAATTAAATGATTTTAATGTATATGATATACCAACAAATACATTCTATATATATATATATTTTTTTTAAATTACTAATTCTAATTTTCCTGTCATAAAGATGTAATATTACAGCTCATTGTGTTGCAAAAAGCGATAAAATACTTATTTTCTTTGCATAAATAGATGAGACAATTTTTTTAAGGGTATTTTAATATCTTTAAAATTATATTAAATTTTATTTAAATATTTTAATAAAGTGCTTCCGATTCTTAAGGCCCCCTTTATTGGCTTTACCGTATTCCCCGGGTTATATCATCTGTCATTTGCGGCGCATCAAAACAAACACGGAAGCAGGGGTGGCGTGAAAAGGGGCCAAAGGGGGACCTCAGAGAGGTGGCTCAAAAACCGAGACCGAAATGCAAAACGTGACTTTTCCCGCAGCCGTCGACTGAGGCGTTAACTGCCAGACTTGCTGACTACGGACGGACTGACTGACTGACGGACGGACAGCCAGTTTTGTAAATTTGTTTGCCTTTCCTCGCGCGGTCTTGGCAATTATTAGAGGGGCAAGTCAACAAGCCGCACACAGGGAAAAAAAACGGGAGGGGCACCCCCATTTCCATACCCACTCACTTCCCCAAAAAAAAACCCATTTTGATATCAATAAGCCAGAGAACAAAGGAAATACCCAATTGACTGATTTGGTTTGAAAGATGAATAGCAAACAAAAAACAGAATATGCAAGTTAGCTTTATATAAATAAATAAATAAAATATGCAACACTGTTAGGAATTTTCTGTTCTAAAACAAATATAATAAATATAGAATCCAAAGTATTGGAGATAATTTAAATAAATATCTTGCGTTAAATATTTAATCAGTCTTAAATTTTAATATTAAATATGAAATATGAAATATTAAATCAAAATCAAATTAAAAATATACCAAATATATCCAATATTGTAGATGGTTTAACAAATAATTTACCAAAAAAATCAAATCCATCTTAAATTTCAATATAAAATATTCAAGTATTAAAACTAAACTCAAACTAAAATTATAACTAATATAAATAAGTCTTGGAGGTAATTGAAATATATATTATACGATGAAAATTAATTCTATCTTAATTTTTAAAATAAAATATTAACAAATAAAATTAAAATCATACTGAAAACACGAGTATAACTAATAAATCCAAGTATTGGAGGTAATTCTAATAAATATTATACAATAGAAATTAAATCATTCTTAAATTTTAATAATATTTATCTAAAAATAAAGTTAAAATGATAAAGAAACTAAAAAGAATTTATTTTAAGCTCGACATAAAACATTACTAAAATAAAAAGATACTTTTATGTATTTTAAACAAATCATTTGAAAATGTTAATTACATTTCCACAAGTAGTTAATGTTATTAAAAACAATTTAAATTTTGTGTGGCATGCCATAGCAATATTATTTTCACTTTGATTGGCTCTTTGCGAAAGCGAGAACCCTGTTGGTAAATTATTGACTGCGGTCCAAGGATTCGGATGCGGATTCAGCTGGGGTCCTCCGGTTTCATCTGCAGCTTCTGCTTCATGCATATTTATTTATTTATTTATTTATTGGCTTGTTTGCCTGTGCTCTCCGCTGGCAAAATGTATTTGGTTAATTGAAATTGATTTCTTGGTCACACAGAAGGCAAACACCTGGACACCAAAAGACTTTCATGGAAATCAATTTCAGTTTTCATCCAGCGAAAAGTGTGCGAATTCAATTGCATAATCGCGGGTTTTGAGCTTGGGTTTGAGTTTGGGCTTAGAGAACTTGAACCAAACCGCAGGTTGACCGAGTTGGAGTGTGGGTGGTGTGCAGATGGGTGGTGCAGGTGGGTGGGTGGTGCAGATGGGTGGCTCCCTTCAGGTGGTGGTGCTTTCGAAGTGAGTTAAACCGCAAGAACCGCTGACCTGCTTACTTGAGTGCTGGACACAAAGTGGGGGCCACCATATTGTTTGTGTGTGCGTGCAACATGCAACACCACCCCCACTTCTGCACCACCACCCCCTCTCACCCCCCGTGTGACGTCAATGAACACGCAACCCCACGCTGACAACAATGCAACAGACACAACCGACAACAGCAACAGCAACAGCAACAGCAACAGCAACAGAAATTGCAACACAGCAGCAACATCAGACAAAGACAGCGACAACAATGGCAAAACTTCGGTGCAATGCTATGACAAATGATTAAATACCAGGGTGGAAAATAAAATGCCAGCAAAAAAAACCGACTAAGGGGGATATAAACTGCGAAAACAATGCTGTTTCGCTTAAAGTTTATCCCCCCTGCCATCAGCAATTCAACTAAAAAGCAAACTAACAACGCTGCGAATTTATTTTCAATTATTGTGAGCCAGAAACAGAAGGATTTTAAAGAATATTGCAATACTATGATATAAGGTTTATTTTTAAAAATTTAAATTCAACTTAAAATCGACTAAATTTAATAGAAAACGTAATTTAAAAAAATATATAAAATTTCAAATCACCATGTTTCAAAATATTTTCAATTAATATTAGCCAGAAACACAAGGATTTTAAAGAATATTGCAATACTGTGATATAGTTGATTATTAAAAATTTAAATACAATTTACAATTGATTTAATATAAAACAAATTGTAATTTTAAAAATAAATTATAAAAATTATTATAATTATATTTTGAATTTATGTTAGCCAGAAACACAAGGATTTTGAAGAATACTACAATACTATGATATAGAGTTTATTATTAAAATTTTAAAGGCAATTTAAAACTGATTAAATCAAATACAAAATGTAGTTCCAAAAATAAAAATATAAGAATTCATAATTCAGTTTCTAATGTTTTAAAATGATTTATAAAAAACTCTTCTAAAATGTGACCAATAATGCCCTCTATAACAACTTTTCAAAGGTAAATATTGTTTATAAAATTAAACTACATTTTTTTCCCCAATCGATCAACCAATTTGTTTAGTATTTCCCCTACAAAGATGAATGTTGTTTTGTTTTTCCACCTACTTTTATCTCCACTGTCACATCTCTCATTGTCACAAGTGAGAACTTAATCGGACATATTCAAAGCGAATTCCGAAACGCCCTTGATAAATGGGTGTATTAAGGTGCATTACCACCATTCGACTCGATGTATTTGCTGTTATTGTGGGCGCAACTATGTCAATCGGTGGGATTTACTTACTTAACGTATGCATTAGCCGAACTTAATTAATTACTTTGTCCGCGCGTAATTACAAAGTCAGTTTGGAGGGTGGTGGCTAACCACAAAACTCAATTCAACTGTTGGTCGAAGGCGGTGAACCAAAATTGAAGGCGTGCGGAGAGTTTCCATTGAGAACGTTTGTGTTGGGGAATGCTCAAGTACTGATTTTAATTCGATTAAGTCTTGGCAAAATATTTTTGCATTACAAAGTACAGAAATTGGTCCTTCGAGCCGGATACTTATAAACAAAGCAAAGGAGAACTGAAAAGCATTTAAAAAAGAGCTTAAATCACAAATATATTTGCTTTAATTGGTCCCCCGAGCCGGATACTTATAAATAATGCAAAATAAAACTGATAGGCATTTAAAAAAAACCCTAAAATCACAAATGTAAACGGCTGACTCACCTCTAAACTGTTTTCCAAGATACCATCTTTATGGGCTGACAAAATTGATAAACCCCTTCAAGGTGATAACTGAAAAAAAAAATGGAAAACACGTTGTGTGTGTGATTACAATGTGCAACAACAAGTGTGCAAATAGGTATCGATTCTATTTGATTAATTGTTACAGACAATCGAAAATGTAAACAATATGTTAACAGCTTGATTATCGCACACGCATTCCGATATGGGGGCTTTTTGGGGGTGGTAATTCAGGTGAGACCTCTATAATTCCCGCGGTAATTAGACCAACAATTCAGTAGTGCAGATAAAACCAAACAAAAGCGGCAGAAAGAATAAAAATTTAAAATAAAAACATAAAATGTAGAGGAAAGAGGACAAAAAAACCCATTTGCCCATTTAGCAAATGCGACGATGCCGGCGTAATTAAAAAATTCTTATCAATTTCAATTGTTAATTGTTGTGGCTTATTCTACACACAGTAAGTACCGTGCTCAGGTATCTATATCTATTGTACATAAATTTATATGGGGGCACATAGGTATGTATGTACAATGTACATACATATACTGTGCTTTATGGGGCTAAATTCGGAATATGAGGGACTAGATCGATAAACCCCGAAAAAATCCCCTTTAATGCAGTAAAATACTTGGCACAGCCGTCTTAAAGTAAAAACAAAGCCAAGTTATACAATATTTTGGTAATATTAGCTCAGCGAGGTAACTTTAATTACATATCCATCGGCAAAATTGATTAAAACCTTCCACAAGATTGCATTTCAAAAGCTGTATCGATTTAAAAATTTCTACAGATTCCGGAAGAGGCATTTGAGGACACAAATTGGGATTGGGAATGCCGGCAACCGAAATGCAAATCAAAATCATAACGTTTGTCTCACTTTTTCCAGGTAAAGTAGCCCACACATTGCCACAAAGCTCGCAAAATACACGCAAAAAAACTGAAGTTCGTTTAAAGAAAATTCTATGAAAATCGTTTTAAAAAAAAATAATATTTATTAAATAATTTTAAGCTATTTTGTAGGAAAATGATAGTATTGAAATTAAAGAAAAAAACTCTTTTTACTTTTTATGATTATCATCAGTTTTTAAATAATATTGTATCGTAATAATAATATATCATCGATATTTTGAACATCGAAATATTGATTTTATTTATCAAAGGATATATGTTTATCAAACAGTTATGATGATTAGTAAGTCAAATAATTAATTGGTATATGAATACTTAGTAAGTAATACTTACTAACGTCTTCTTTACAGAAAAAAATTTTAAAAAAATATCATTTATCGATAATAAATTTGTAATTACTTATATGACTATAATCGGTCAATACAATTATGATAGTTTAATAAATTTCTATCGATAAACACTATGAAACAGCCGTAAAAATCGATATTTCCTAATTTTCTAAGTATTACTTACTAACGTCTTCTTTACAGAAAAAAATTTTTTAAAAATATTATTTATCGATAATAAATTTGTAATTACTTATATGACTACAATCGGTCAATAAAATTATGATAGTTTAATAAATGTCTATCGATAAACCCTATAAAACAGCCTAAAAAATCGATATTTCCTAATATTAAGCTACACAGCTTAGTGTTTTTCAGTGCACCATATAGTGAGGATTATTAGTAGCCTTGTCTTTGGGCCGACCCCAGAACTGAGTCGCCTCCCCGAGGCTAGCAAATTGAGCTGGATGTTTTCACTTGCCATTTCCGGGCTCCAGCAACAAACCACAAGCCCCCCCACACACACACACACACACTCTCGCACACTAGCACACTCGCACACTCGTGCACTGGGGGAAAATGAAAATTTAGGAAGGACATGGCATTATTCCGACGAATCCTGTTGTGGCCAACAGAGAAACCATGAGAGCTTCACTCAAATGGCATGCGTTTTCGGACTCGTATTCGTTTGCGATAATTACTATCATCATCTGGTTGTTATGGAAGGACTTATCGCATAAAGGGGCGAAAAGGTTGGGCGCATTGTGGTATATTAAATTAATTCAAAGCCAAATGGAGGCTCTCGATTGGGATGTGTACTTATGTAAATTGGAGATTACATGTATGTTTTCCCAGCTCATAAAGTTTCATAACAGAGGCAACTAAGCTATAACAATTTGAAGGCTTAGTAGCCTGATATTATTGTTAAGTGTTTTTTAAATCGCGGAAAATGTGTGTAATTTTAAATTGAATAGTTGATAATTGGGTAAATAAAAGACTTAAGCAATTGTAATTAAATGGATCTTGGTAATAAATCTGAAATTACATTAAAGTATATTTTAAATCGCGAAAAATGTATATAATTTGAAATTTTACAGTTTATACTTGGGTGCATAAACCCTTTAACAATTATAATTAAATGGACCCTGGTAATAAATCTGATATTACTTTTAAGTATTTTATAAATCGCGGAAAATGTATGTAATTTTAAATTTTGTAGTTGATATTTGGGTAAATAAAGCCCTTCAACAATTATAAATAAATGGGTCATGGTAATAAATCTCACGTATATTTTTAATCGCGGATCATATATAATATTTTAAATTTTATAATTGATATTTAGGTGCAATAAACCCTTTACCAATTTTAATTAAATGAAATTTGGTAAAACATAATAATAAACAGTTTCCCCATATTTTGTGTTATTTAAAAGTAGTATACATATATAATTTGAAATTATTTTACTTATATGATTATTAATATTCATCGTTTATTCCAAGTACTTAACAAAAATTTGAAATTCTGAAAAGGAAAAAATTACAAAAAACATTGGTTGGCTCATTTGAACAAGAACTTCCTCAAGTTCCCCTGATTTTTTTGGCAGCAATTCCACTTTATTGGCAATGACAATTGGGTTTTCAAATTGGTTTGCGATTTTCGTTTTTTTTCGAATTAATGCCAAGGCACTTGTCACAACATGTTGTGCATGCCAAAGATCTGGAGATCGTATCGGATCGGTATGGGCATTATACAACTTCGATTCCAGAGCGGCACGCGACTTTGCGCCTGCGCATTTGAATAAAAACGAAAAAAGGCAACAAAAATACAGCGAATTATTTGGGCAATATAATGCCAGTCATGTAGCGACGTCAGTGTGAATTCGTTTATTTTATTTGTGCCGTATTTTTCAGCCGCTGACAAATTAAGCCAAAATGATAAAGCAAGCGTAGAGGTGTTAGCTTCTTTTTTTCGCTCTCAGCCGAATTCCAATTTTTATTTTGTTAATGATCACAATAAATTCAATGTCCGCATGTGTGATCCAGACTTCTGGGTTTTATTTTTTTATGATTATTTCTCCCGTCTGTTTTTTTTTGGCGACAAAATTGTTTTGTGGCGCTAATTGGTTGGTTAAAGATTGGTTATATTGAGTAACCAATAGACCATGTATCTCTTAGTTAGCCCATGAATCAATTATCTTTCGGGCCTGTTTGCTTGGGGGGGCAAACAATAGAGAAGTAGAAGTAAAAAAGAAAAAGAAATACGATCCCCACCATTTGGCCCAAATTAAGTTCTGTTCAAACACCGCTCCGGAACCTGTTATTCAAAAGCTGTTGACAACTTGTTGCCAGCGGGCAAATAGCGCCAACATTTCCCAAGAATGCGAGATCACCTGTTGCCACCTCCCACACACATTATCCGTATCTTTATCTTCAGCTCTATATATCTTTTTATTAGGGATATTCCCCCCGAGGCAGCGTCGGCTGCTTTGAAGCCATGGAGTAAACATTGGGAATCATCAAACAATCCACTCTATCTCAATTTCAACAATTTGTGACATTCGGCAAATATTTACACCTTCATTTGGTCAGCACCGGATCCACGGAATATATTTTAAAGATAATAAAGCGAAAAACCCAAAACCCAATCTGCTTATGGTTCGATTTCGAGTCAAATGTTTACAGTCGGTTCGTTTGGATTGTATTTCATAGGGATCAAATGGCAGCATTTTTTTTTGCAGATATACCTATTTATATATCATAACCGAAATTAGCTTATGATAATATCACCTAGCATTTGCTTATGCCTATTAATTTGAAACTATTTCCATATGACTTCTTTGTTTTTATGTAGGGTCAAACGGGCCTCTGCAACACCATAAATATTTATATACAATACTTTTGGATGAGCTTATAATAAACTTGATCCATAAAATTAATTTTAAGGCTCTCCTATGAATTCATTATTAAATTAAGCCTACCTGATTTGATTATATCTAAAGTTTTATTAAAGTTTTGTTTGCATAAAAAACATAAAATGATAAAAGAAGAATCAGGATTATATACTTTTAAGTAAACCTTGAGTAACGTAATATTTATAAAAGCCCATTGGAAATACTATCTAATTTATGTTATGTTGACGAACAATTAATTCTGATTGAATTGACACCTTCGAAATATCTGCTATATCTATTTCCCCATTTATCGCTCGGATTTACTAGATCGCGAAGGCTTCTCAAATGGATCGTACGACGTAGATATACGTATTCTCTGTGGACTGAACCCATATATCTAGTTCAAATTCGATTCGCAAACAGGTCGGCGACGAAACATTTGAGTGATAAAACCTTATCGGCCATGGGGGTCTCTGACACCCGAATAATATTACCACAATGGAGAAGTCTGGGGAATGGAAAGGGAAAACGTCGCTGGAAGTGAAGTTGGTCTAAATTTGGAAGCAAATTTTTGACAGTCCATCGTAGCGTTACGTTGATAATACGATTGTGTGTACTAGGTCTTGTTATTTTTCCATTATTTTCCTATTTTTGGCAGCCAGTTTTTGCTGGTTTAGGCCAACTTCTTGGGGACTTTTCTCTTCGATCCCAACTCGCAGCACGTGCATCTTGCACTTGCACCGACTCTTTCTCTGGGCTTCTCTCTTTCCCCAGTCCTCTCTTCGCATCTTTCTCTTGGGAACTCTCTTTTATGGGCATGACCAGCAGACTTGTTTGTTATTCTCGCTCGCGGGCAAAGTCCACCAAGTGATGCCAAAGTTCATCAGTGATTTTAACTTGTTCTTTACTATCTAAGGAATAGA